TGATCACATTGCCATATCTGTAAAAAGTATGCAAAATAACTCATTTACACTCTAGAGCGGGAATAGGCCATTCTGCTCGCTAATCAACTGTTTCTACAGTAGCCACAGCTGTGGATCAGGTGCGTTAAAAACCCAAGCAAATAACATAACCTAAAAAAACAAATGCAAACATATCCTAAATGGCATTTGATACACAACTAAAAAGTTAATCTGTGTGTTATAAGTTAATTAAGGCAGTAGGATAAATCTTGTGCGTATTACGAGTACAAACAGTCATTGCCGCTCAAAATGTATGGCTGCACTCAGCTACTTACTGTGTGGTGTGGCAGAGAAGAAAAACATAAAAAATATGATCTGAAATATTTTGAAAATTAATAAAAATTTAAAATCATACTATACAACAGGCTCGATGTTTTTTTAATTAATAGTGTTAACCAGTTCCAAGTACTTTTTAATTCAGTTCTGAAGTTAAGACTCTGAAGATGCCACACCCTGTGGCAAAATGTGCAGCAGTGTGTTAATTGGACTTCAAGAACACAAGGCAACCATCAAAATAAAAGTTTTATGATTATTAAAAAACTACATTAGCCTTATGGAGTTAATTTAGACTACACAGTTCAATTGCTTGTTTAACCATTAACAACTTTGTTTTTTATATGGATGAGCAAAATCAGATTACCATAGTTAGTGTAACCTTAAGGCATTAACCTTGCATTGCTCATATTACAGGAAATGACGTCAGAGCAAGCCCTAAGCCACACAGCTGACATTTGATATAGCCAGATAATCAATGACAATCAGAATTCCTCATCCTGGAGTGTGATTAGTTCCAGAGGTGGATTTCAGTTTGATTGTTTTGTACAATATTAATTGTGTGGCACACAGTCAAAACGTGGCAATCAAGAACATAATTAGCAAAGTAATCTTTTGAACTTGTCATACATTAGGTAGGCTGGTTTCATAATCAAATAATGTTTAAATGACAGAATAAGTTTTGTTTATCGTAAATATCTTTGAAACCGGGTGTTAGGTACAACTATGGATTTTAAAATGTTGTAATGAATGTAAGACTACTGCTTCATTCATTAAGTAATTTTTATAGAAAGCAAATTGGTAAGGGTTTCATTATGGCACCATTTGTTTTTACATGTTAAAAAGCTTAAATTTTCACACAATTTTTTCAAACCCTACCCTTCCTTATAGATTAGGTACATAAATGCTCCAGTAGTATAAAATAAAACATTTTGACTCCTTCATGAGACATCCTGTATCCTGTATGTAAAATTAGACCTTTAACATCACATTAATGCTGATAGTTGTAAAACAACCTTTTTACTCAAATCTATTTTGCATTGGCTTTTACGTTTAGAAATTTCAAAGAACCCTTTGTAAGCTGAAACTACTAGTCACCAATTCAACCAGCAAATTCTCTAACTCCACAATGAAAACAAAGCTATTTGTTTCCTTGCAAGGGAAAATAACTGCCCTTAGTTTTCTCAGAATTGCTAGAAAATTTCCCTTAGTCTCGTTTTCCTTCGATAATCACCCTATAAATTTCCTGGGCCTTTATTGTTCTATGTTTTTACACCCTACTTCTGTTGTGATTCACAGGCATACTAAGCCATTCTCAATAATTATGTTTTTCATCAAAGCGGTTCTGCAGTCCTGTATAATGGTGGAAATTATTGTTTTAAAAAGTTTATAGATACTAATAATACTATATACAGCCCCAAAATTTGATGATTTGGAAAAAAGTCAGACACACAAGTTCAGGTACCTTTTTTTGTACAAAGTATTAATAATGTTTTAGATGTTTTTACAGTCTAAGTATCAAAAACAAATTATTGTATATAACAATTAAGAGGCAATCAAATTTGGTAATATTACAAGTTCTTCCTTTTCAACTCATTAGGCTTCAACTGACTAAAAAAAATCAAAATTTTTTTCCTTGACAAACTGTAAAAGAAATATTGTACATTTGCTCTAATTGAAGGATATCTATTTTGATGTTTGTAATAAATTCCATAATTTGGCGGAGTGTTAAAAAAACCTTTTTCAATCGGATAATTTATAATAAAATTATAACAGTTGGATTAACTCCCCCAATCGAAATTAATAATAATTTCTCACTTATGCCATAGACAATACGAATTAAATATACTCAGCCGTGCTGCGGTTACCGTGGCTACTACAGGTTCTGGCGCACACCGCTAGGAGTGTAGTTTCATAGCGCATACGCCGCAACTACATGGCGCTCCCAGCGGTGTGTGCCAGAAGCTATGGTAACTGCAGCACAGCTGACGGCCTATATTTATTCTTTTTGTCTATGCTTATATGCTAACTGTATAATCATCAGCCTAAATACCACAATTACTCTTACCAAAAAACCTATATATTGATAGGCGACCTGTAACTTTTCTACAACAAGGGTGAGCGTTACCACACTGCAAAATCTACGACTACACGATTTGAGTAAAATATCTTTTCATTTTACTTTGTTTACGGTAAATCTAGGCCAGTGAAATTCTTTTTATATTTTTTGTAAGGGACCCATCTAAGCCCTAGTCTTGATACCATCTAACATCAAACTTTTGTTAGATTGCATCATTAAATGATAGCTCCATGACAAATCGTATCAGGGTTTAGTTTTGATCTTACTTGGTATCTAACCAGTGACCTTAAAAATTTAAGGTGAGGACGACTACAACCTGATGAGTAGCAGTATTCCCACATGTTTGGTGAAATAATACAATAAGGACTAAATTCATATTTTCTATTACACCACTTTCTACAATAATTCACCAAATTTAACCCTTATATAGTCTAATTTTGTATAGGTTACAGACCTAGATATCTTAGCTTTAAATATAAAATAGGCCACACTAATATTTGGCAAGAATAATTTTATAAATGAAATATATGAAACTGTACAGAGCATTTTAAGCTAGCTAGACACTAACTCAAGTTTAATATATAGTTAGTTGGAAATTTTTCATTCTAACTGCATAGGTAAATTTAATTTAAGGTTTTTAAAACACAAAAAAGAGCATTGAAATTCTTGAAGAGCCAAAGTTAGATTGTAATCAGCGATGCAAAGATAAAATAATTTGAAGTACACTTCAGAAATGTCCATTTATTCAACCTCTGTCCAAAATTGTTGAGATGAGTATAATTGGAGTTCACAAAATTATCAAGTGCCATCAAAAGTATTTGCACTTTTAATTTAAGTGCTTATATTTTATGTGGGTTTCTACAACTTCTATCCCCTTCTCTCCTGGTTCCATAAATTACTGCAAGTCCAGTGGCTTAAAAGTAGGTACCATTTTGTGATGGGGCGGAGCCGGGGGGGGGGGGTCTGGAATACCCGTTTTAAAAGGGGACCAGGGGAAATAGTAACCTATACCTTGAAAAACCTAGCAGTTTTAGACACACAGCTTTCTGTAATCACGTAAATATACACATTCCCTCGTAAACCATTTGTTTTATCTGCCACTTGTAAAAAAGGTGGTTGCCTCCTTTAATCCACCCACAGTCCACTCACACTAATTAAAATGCAGGAGTCGGCCTTCCTCCTTTAGTTTTATTTGTATTTTATCTTTACATGTTATCATTATGTCTGGTTGCCTAAATGTATTTTAACACGTTATGCGACGCCGCGGTCATTGCCACAGACCGAGGTATACATTTGAATCTTACACACAGACCGGCTGTCACTTGGATAACAGTACACACAGACCACGGGCGAAAACCTGTAAAACAGTGATCATTTACATTGTAATACGCTACAATCGTGTTTGTAAATGATGTATTCTTGTTTTTTTGTATTATTAATAACCTTTTGCAATGTCGCATATGTGCGACGCCCGGTCTACAGCGAAGACAATAGTGAAAATTATCATAGTTTTCTTGAAAATAGACCAAACGTTGCATATATGCGACAGTTCATTTTTTGTGTTTTGAGGTGAAAGTAAGTAAAATAAAAAACAGATTGATCAAGAACAGTTTATAACTGAACAAATATAAAAGCTACATAGGATAATTCAGCGTACATACTGCATACATACAAACAGTGATGCAGAAAAGTAAAGACCAGTTTTTCCAACTATCATATGACATCACCAATCATCATATTCACAGACCAAGCGACGCAGTTGTGCGTCAGACATCTCTGTATACCACTGCAGGAAATTCAGTGCCTTCAAATAGACCGTTACAAAGATATAAGCATTTTAATAACATTAGAACCTTGACGCAAATATGCGACGGCAGTTTATTTTAATGTGACTAGCCGACGCATATATGCGACGGCAGTCTATGGGTGGAAATCGGCCAACGCATATGTGCGTTGCTGGTCCATGTGAATGAAAAATTTTGTACTATTGCAGTAGCGAACGTGTTAAAGCCTATTATAGTAAGAATCAAATTCTAATAAAAAATATACCAATGTTATGTCTCACCTGGTCCGAATAGTTCCTTTTTTGAGATTCTAAATATTTATAAAAGTATAAGCACTCAAGCACATATATGTATGAATATAAATAAAGTCTAATAAGGGTTTTTTTAGCTTCAATAATAATGGTAAACTACCTTGGTTTTTGCTATATGACACCACTGTGCCACCTAAAAAGTAGATATATTATACTCTCTGCTAAAGTAGATATTTTTAGAAAGAAATTGGGTTTTATTAAGGTTTCAATAGCTGACTTTTTTATGGAGGATTGATCAGGTTCCTTAAAAACTTAAGCCATGGCCAGATAAGTCAAATTTTATTCAAGTAATTAATGTTATATACCTTGTTAGTTCAACAAATTAATTAATTTATTAAATTAAATTTTCATTGAATTAGGTACGGTATTAAAATGATTTGTGTGATGAATGATTCCGACAAGTAATGTGAGACCAGCAGGACTTGAAAGTGGTGAATAAAAACTGAAAACTAAAAATCTAGAAACTAAACCACAGGCTCAACACAAGTGAAAATTTGTAATTACATCTTATAAATTAAGCTTAAAATGATTATACTTTCATCCCAAACAGCCTTAACTTACTGATACAACATCAAAACTGTATTTGACAATTGATAATTTCATTAGAGTCTCCTAACAAATACAGCAACATGAGGTTATTGCAACGTTAGAAAAAATCATATAAATTAAACAGAAATATTTAGGAAAAGGATGAAAGGATAAATGATTTAAAATCTGTCCATTATAATTTTTATTGTAAATCTTTCAAGCTATTCTAAAGTAAGGTTCTTAACCTTTAGTTGTACAAAGCAAATAAAAATTATTTTAGTACAAGTGAATGACGGTTATAGATAGGCTTATAAAACGTAAGCTAGTGTTTCGTCTTCAAATATTTACCAATGGTGAGATTTTAAACAAGCATTTATATAATTAATTGCGTTAGCAAAAAACCAACAATTTCAAGATATTGAATGCCTTGTTATTAATTATATTTAACAATATAAATTTTGCTGTGGCACAACTATCTAAAGAGTTATATAGACTGTTAACCAAAAATAAAGGTACCGTTTTACATAAAATATTACCTCACTAATGACAGACAGTCGTAACAGAAATTTTATTGCAAATTCAATGTCAAAATCTGTCATTATGTATGCTTGGCGAAAGCAATTTTTTGTTTTTACAGGAAAGAGAGTCATGTTTGGTACGGTATATAAGAATATTTCGTGACTAAAAACTTAAAGTAGCTGTAAACAAATTCTATTATGTAGCAAAATGGCAACCCTATTGCACTGTAAAAGGTTTTTCTAAAGGGTAATAAAGATTCTTATTCTTAATTGGTCTAGAAATATTTTATGACTCATAGAATTATATTTGTTAGGTACCAACCAACCAATGTTTTTCAAAAACATGAAATGTTTACAAGTAGACCTAGGCCTATTATTGATTTTTCGTTACTCTCTATTAGTAATGTGCGCTAGGAAAAGATCCACAGGGTTAAATATTATAATTGGACATTTAACAGAAACAATTTTAATGGTCTAAAAACTGGCCATATGGAAAAATTGTTTAAACTATATCCTCTTGTTGAAAATGGTACATTCTTTGAACACCTATTATTAAAAAATGGTCTTACAATAGTCATAGTCAAAAATGGTTATTCATAAATTTGTAAATTTGACACAATGAATAGTCAATGATTATAAATCATTTGGATGGATGCTCTAATTTTAAAGAATTTTTGACATTTGACCAGAGTATTTGCTTTGACTTGTAAATGCCCAAGCATTGTATAGTGGCTCTACCACACAGGTTAAAAAACATAAGACACATACACCTAATATACACCCAAAAACAAAACAAAACATCAGCTTAAAACAAATTAAAATGTACCAATACTACATGTACAAACATAATACAATATTTACAACCTAAACCAAACTAAGTTTCAGTGGTAGGGGACGGGCGACGGATGATTAAGCACTTGGCTTAACACCCGTCGCCCGTCCCCTACTGCCCATGATAAACCCGAGGCTTGGCAACAGTTTTTGGTCTCAAACCACATCTGGCAAAATGCAAAACCAGTTTTAAAATACCACTCCTTCGAGGATATAATTTCTTTTCCAGTAGCTTTTCATTATGAACGCAAATTGTTAAATCATCAATAGCAATTTCACCTTGGAGGATTGAAAGTAGTGAAATTATATATCTTATCTGTAAATGTTGTCCTTGATTGTGAAGTTTTGAAAATAATGTTGATACTGAGTAATCCGTTGATGTAGAACTACCCCTGACAAACTGCAGACTGCTCATCGTCGAATTCCTGAAAAGTTATAAACATTACAATTCAAACAATGATTTTCCTCTTTGACCAACAATCTATTATATTGCTCTCCCTTAAACTACACCTATAGATCAATATGTTTAAAAAGAATCCATACAGACTTTTTTGGAGAAATATTTATAATTCTTTAAATTAATTAAACGTAGGTATATTCGCCTAATATTTTTAATCAATATAATAAGTATCATAAACACTACTGTAAGCACCTTGTCAAAATTCATGTGGTTCAAACTAATATTTATAATTGGACTCCTCTTTTCCGGACTCCTCAGGACTGAGACCAGTCCAGGTAATGGGTTTCCCGGCAAACTGACGCCCTCTAAACTTGTTAAATTAGGAACATCTAATGCATACTATGTAAGTCAATAGTTATTCAACTATTGTACTTTAAGGTTCGGCACAAAGGCATTGAAAGTTTTTTGTAAAAGATCAAGGGAACAGTCCAGTAGGACAAGCTGAAGTAGGTTGCATGCATCAACCTCCAGTTAAACGTCATCTGTATAATCAGTAAACTTACCTGTTATTTAACATTTCTTCTAAAATGTAACTGAAGAAAAGACTCGCGACTAAAACCACAAAGGTCCCTTTGATTGAAGTCAACCTGAAAATAAAATGCAATTTCAATCCTCATGAGTTTAGGCACTCCGTTCAACTGAGACCTGGGTTAATAAAACCTTCATAAAAAAATTGAAATCAATTGGAAAATAAACTTGGCAACAGGAATTGCCTGCTGTGACACGAATAGTTGGTCCGGCTTGGGAAAAAGAATGTAATGGAGCAGATGCGGTTTTTTTTATAAACTACAAAAGGTTGGCGGCCTCTTTTAACCTTGCATTTGCACGTCCACATAGACTAACAGTCCATGCGTGGAACGTATCCAGTAAAGCAAGGGGGTGAGCCGGTACAGTACGAAGGTGAACTCTACTGATAAAATGTTTGCGGCAGTGATCAGGATTTTAACACACGACATCACTACGTTGAGCCCGAAGTCCGTGACGCTACCGACTGAGCCATTGACTCACCTCATAAATCTTATGTTTTTTTAAGTAAGTACCGTTTTTAAATTTCTCCGTTCCAGTACTGCGATTGGAATTTTGGACATTTGTGCTGTATATGTGCATCTATTGGCAAGCCTGCGCCGGAAATTCGGCCAAAATCGGCCGTGTTTACATCCGTTTTTGAGCATCCAAAATTGTGCCACCAATTGAGACTGTGCACAAAAACGTAACACAGGTTTTTGGATACAGCTCTAAAGGTTGAAAATTATCTTAAGAAAGTCACCAAACCGCTTTAAACCCCCAGACCTCTCCTTTTTCCTACACCACCTTAACCGCCCCGGTAGCCCCCCTTGACAAGTTTCTTAAAACACCCCTGCTAATAATAATTATAACCAAGGCTGGTTTAACAAAAGTACAAATTAGATACTTTATCAGATTATTTTTTTTACTTTTTCAGTGTTTCAACACCAATGGAATTTTATAAATTTTAATTTTAGGCGAACGGTCCAACAGGACTAAGGCTGAAGTCTAAGTTGCTTAAGTAAAAAATTTGATCAACTTTGTTCTATGATGATTATACTTACCAATTAATTGACATTTCTTTTTAAATGTAACTGAAGAAAAGACTCGCAACTAAAAACCAAGGTCCCATCGGTTGAGGCTGACCTGAAAATAAAGAATAATGTAATTTAATTTCAATTATTATACAAAGAGTTTAGGCTTACCATACAGTAGGCTATACATTTCATGTTAACCCTTGAGGAGGCGATTGCAGAGTTTAGCTCTGCACGTTAAGTTTTTGTACAAAATAACTATGTATGGTATCGCCAGTCTTCTCAAGCTCCTTACGTCAACTCGCTTCATTCCTGGATTCCACCAAAACAATGTTTACAGTACACCCATCCCCTAGGCTCAATCTGAGTGACGAGTTAGTAAAAGAGTGATTAAATTGGAAGTGTGATTGCAGAGGCTTTCCTCACGTGCATTTTATCCAGTTTTTTAGCGAATTTCCCATATAGGGAATAAGCTATTACCGTAGTACTCATGGTAAGACCTGGACCCGAAACTTCTTTTTTCCAGTATATTATTATAAATATATATATTTATATATATATGTGTCCGTTAGTGCGATAACTCGAGCAAAAATGATCCGATTTTGATAAAATTTGGTACAAACGTGTAAACCTACGTTTATTTGAACGAGTTCGCGATCCAGCATAATCGGACCATGGGAACGGGGGATTATGGGGGGTTTTATGGGGTAAAAATGGGCTTTTCCCATTTTTGAACCTAAAAACAAAAAGTTTTGTGATTTCTTTCTAAAACATTTTGTAGAGCTTAAAAAAAGAAATAATTTAGTATATTGAAGCGCTGTTGTATGCCTAACGGTCACGGAGAAAATTCAAAAATAGTGTAATTAAAAATTCCCATGTTATTCTTATGGAGAAAATGAAAATTGTTGTAGTTTACTTGTTTATGGGTATATATTGATAAAATTTTGCAAATTTATTTATTTCATCCTATACTATTGATGTATGGTCAAAAAACACTTTTTACCTTCCCCGTAGCAGCAAACCTAAGCACTTGTTAAATCTAATGTTATTTAAATAGGGAATAATATGTCTTATTTATGGAAATATTTTAGTAAAAATGTAATCAGACAAGTTGAAATTTGCTTAGTCTGCAGGTTTGCTGCGGCGGGGGTATTTTTATTTATTTTCTACGAATTCATTTACATATAGGCCTATTGCAAAACATTTTTATAATAATTAAAATGTATTTAAATACACAAATTTTCTTAAATACCTAACTTTATCCTGTTAGGCCTACACGACTAATTTATCACCAAATAAGATTGTGTCTATTCATTTATAATTCCATTGGGGATAAAACTCCCGTAACACCGACCATAACAATCTTTTTGCTATTAACAAAGCCTTATTTTTTAAATGTTAGGCTACTCATAAATAGTTAGTGTTATAGTTAATAGTTAGTTAGTTAGTGTTAGTTAGTAAATAGTTATTAATTTAGAATGTTAATAATCAATTGTTTCCTTTTCACAATAGTTAGAATTTAACTACAAAATTATGTGATAAAATCAAATTAAATCAAATAAATTCAATGCTTCTGCATACACCTTCTCATGTTTTTAAGGTTAAGCGCCCGCTCGAGGGTTTAGTTCTATATAGGACTACAAAGTTTGTAAGTTTAACAAATTAATTTAGATTTTAAAGTTACACTTGAAAGATGAGAGAAAAATTTAATAAAAATGAATATATTTCTTAATTAAATCAGAGGACAATGTTCAGGGTTTGAAGAGTTAGTGAATTTATGGATTAGTGATAATGACGTACTACTTGTTCCTGTCATGGGGTAGGTTAACCAAAAGGCTGATCACTGCAGATGATGCCAACTGTTGTCAAAACCGTAAGATGTCCTCACGGTTGTTGCTGAGGTCGCGGGAGACAATTAGGCCTACAGATGTTTCGGAGACCTTGGTCGCGGGAGATGATTACCAATATCGCGAATGACGTAAAATATGCTCTCGGGTGTTGCTGCGGTCGCTGGAGACGATTAACGATGTCGCAGAGCGCACAAGTTATGCTCCTCCCGATCTGAGGGTTCTACTGTAATTAAAACTGAAGTCTAGATTACATACTTAAACAAACCTACATTTTCATCACCCTTTGAGAAAATGTTGAATATAGACTACTTTCACCGATTCAAGATTCTACTTGCAGTTTATATATGCTGATTCCCAAAATACAATACTTTTTTGCCAGATAGAGTCCAAAGTGTCTGAAAAACTAAATCAAAGATAACAAATTTAAGTTTTATTGAGGGATTTATGGTGGTTTGGACGAGGCTAAGTTCTGGAGGTGAGGCAGGTTTCTGGCGAGCAAACAGCTGTTTTTTTTTTTTTTTTTTTTTTTTTTTTATCCTGCATCTTTGACAGATCTAGTCTGATAGATTGTGTCATAATTTATAATATAATCAGATAAATAAAACTATATACAATATTTACAAAACCATAAAAATGGCTACTATAAAAAAAACTTGGCCGTCTATTGGATGGCAAGGCGGACATACGCTATTTTACAAGGGGCTCATCCTCGAGTTCTTTAAGGGAGTAGAGCGGTCTATTAGCAAGTATCCCTTTTAGTTCCCTCTTGAAGGATGGCACATCCATCTCCCGCATCTGGGTAGGCAGAGTATTAAATATTCTGATCGCTGAACGGGGATAGCAACTCAAGGTACGACTGAGACGGCAGCGGGGAACGTCGATGTTATGGGCCTTCCTAGTATGGTAATCATGCACCTCCTCTCTCTTACTGTAATCCCTCTTAAGTTGTTCTTTAGTAGGATCAGAATATCCATAACATACTGACTATATACTGTGAGCACCCCCTAGTTCCTTGAAGATTGGCCGGCAATGGTCCAAATACCCAGCAGATGTAACAATCCTCAAGGCAATTTTTTGTAAGAGAAGTATATCCTCAGCTGCTGAGGAGTGCCCCCAAAGTACAAGTCCATAAGTCACATGACTGTGAAACAAGGCATGGTACACGGATAGGAGAGATGATCTAGGAATTTCTGGCGTAAGTTTTCTTAGGAGATGGAGCACACGAGATAACTTGACACGTCTGCGCAATGTGTTCTTAGTCTGGTATCTAATGTAAATCCCAGAAGCTTTACATTGCCATCTTCCCCTTCTCTCCGCTTCAGCGTACAAACCAGGGACTGGGTTTTGTCATCGTTGATTTTCAAGCGGTTTACAACAAACCAATCCTTGGCTCTCTCGAGCAGGTCTTCAGCCTCTGTTGGCAGTTGGTGAATATTTACACCTCTAGTCAGCAGTGTTGTATCATCTGCAAATAATAATGTTCTCCCACTCAGATGAAGGTCGTTGATCATTATAGTAAATACCCCCGCCGCAGCAAACCTGCAGACTAAGCGAATTTCCATTTGACTGATTGGATTTACACTGAAATGTCTACTTTAAAATATAACATTTATTCCCTATTTAAATATAATTAGTTTAACAAGTACTTAGGTTTGCTGCATCAGGGAGGGTAAAACTGTTTTTTTTGTAAAATGTTAATAGTTAGTAAGAAATTAAAACATTTTCCAAATTTGATCAAAATATGTTCATAAACAAGTAAACTACAACAGTTTACTTATTCTCCATAAGAATAACATTGGAATTTTAAATTTACAATTTTTTGGAATTTTCTCCGTAACCATTAGGCGTATAACAACGCTTCAATATACTAAATTATTTGTTTTTTTAAGCTCTACAAAATTATTTGGAATGAAATTGCTAAATTTTATGTTTTTGTGGTCAAAAATGGGAAAAACCTATTTTTACCCCATAAAACCCCCCGTAAACCCCCGTTCCAATGGTCCGATCATGCTGGATCGCGAACTCGTTCGAATAAACGTAGGTTTACACGTTTGTACCAAATTTCATCAAAATCGGATCATTTTTGCTCGAGTTATCGTGCTAACGGACACATATATATAAATATGTAAATATATATATATATGAATTTGAACGGATGGTGTTTTTGGCCTCTAGGGACCTCAAAACGAAAAAAAAAATCGGTTCCACGTCCAGGTCTTACCATGAGTACTACGGTAATAGCTTATTCCCTACATGGGAAATTCGCTAAAAGGAGAGGGCCGAGGACAGATCCCTGTGGCACGCCGTGTGAGAGATGGCCTATGCTGGAAAGGGCTCCTCGCAGAGATACAACTTGCTTACGGTCCCTCAGATAGTTTGAGAGGCTCTTGAGAACAACACCGCCAACGCCATACTTTCCCAGTTTTAGCAGGAGGATATCATGAGGTACTACATCAAAAGCCTTGCTTAGGTCGCAGAGGCTAAGCTGCACGGACTCATTTTGCTCAAATGCTTCAGAGATGGTGTTGACTAGGCTCAGCAAGGCGGTGGTGGTAGAGCGGCCTTTTCTGAATCCATGTTGGGCATCTATAAACAGGCTATTGTCCTGTTTATAGATTATTCAATCATAGATTATTCAATTATTATTATTAATCACCTTTTACTTATGTAGCGATGCAAAACAAACTAACCCAATACACACGATTATATGCACCATGGAATCAATTCATTCGGAAGGAATCGTTCCAGTACTGTAGAGGATTGGACGAGAATAAGAGGCTACGATAAGATGAGGCGAAGATTATCAACTAAATCAGTAAAATGTAAAGGCCTTTAGAATGCAAAGATAAAGTTACCAAACGAACAGCATCTAGAAATGCTTATCTCATTGTTAATAGTTGATCATTGCACACATAACAGTTCTTATTTAGGTATGTGAGTCTTAACTGTAGTGTTCTAAAATTAGGTTAGATTAGGATGGTAAAGTTTATTAATAAATAAAATTATTATTTTATGTACTGTACCAGTAACTCTGTTTCATCCTGAAACAAATTTTATGCACTACATGGTACAGTTAGACTCCCTCTAGTTCGGCTTAGGTTGGATCGGCCCAGTCTCAGGGGGACAAGTCACATCATCTTGGGCGAATGACCTTCGACAGGATTAAACTTGAATGTTTAGTTTCCGGCCATAGAAGTGTAAGTTTAGTTGAGGGGCGCTTCTATGGGAGAATTGTTGCATATTACCAGCGATAAACTAAGTTGCATAACCCCAAAAATAGAATGTTACCAGGAACATTTTACATTGTTTTTCTACAGTATTAGGTGTTTTTATGGGTATGTACTATAAATGTTTATTACATGTTGGATCAACTGTGGTTTTCAGTTATCCATGGTCTCCTTCCCCCATATTCAACAGCATTACCCCTAATAATTAACGTTCTACTACATTCGGTTAGTCCGGCCATTTTGTAGTCCGGCCAGTAGTCCGGTCTCGAGGTGGCTAAACTAGAGGGAGTCTACTGTATGACTTTCTTGAAAATTGTGTATATATTTTTTTCTTTTTATGTGTTGGCATTTTACTCAATCCCACAGGAAATGTTCCAATGTTAGCTTTAAAAGTCTTTAAAACAACAAAAAATGATAACTTTCAGATTCAGAGTGAAAAAACTGTAGGCGAAAGTTAACACGTTCGCTGCCACCCACCATTGGCAGGCGTAGCCCCGCTGCGGCGCAGAGTCAAGCAAACCCTTTAGCTTTAAAAGGTCTGACAAATAGCAAATGGCGTGAAGTGATGTTATGCATTACAACGTAGTTTGCTGAAACACTCACAGATAGCAGCAATGTCTGCAACTAGCCAGTCACATTGAATTGCCAATTGGAGGGAGAATGACGGGGCAGCAAGTTGATTTCTAAGCTTGTCAGAAGGGGATTTTACTACCAACCTACACCACCATAAAGCACCCATTCCTAGCTAAATAAAAATACCGTTCTTCCCAGTGTTCTGGTGCGCAGAAATTGCAGTAATGATAGGCGATGTCGCCATTCACGGGTGAGCGTTCAGGGTGGCAGAAAGGAACAAGAGCCCTCACCGGTGGTCCGCAGCGAACGTGTTAGCCTAACCTAAGTTAAAGACAAATGCTAACTTAAAGAAGTTAAATTTTTAATTTGTAAAAGTAAATTCAACTTTTGCCTAACTTTGTTTTGTACTGAAACAGTAGGTACCAGTAAACTTACCAGTTAGCCTATATAAAGTTTTCTCGTTTTAATGTAACTGAAGAAAAGACTCGCAACTTAAACCACAAAGATCTCATCGATTGATGTCAACCTGAAAACAAAAAAAGTTTATGTTGTAATAGGTCTAATTTTAATTCTAATAGCCTAAGTTATGAGTTTAGGCTAAAGATATTACCTAACTGTAATATAGGCCTACGATCACTTTTATCAATTGGATTTGATTATATTTATTTTTTAAATAGGTAGGCTAGTACGAGTAAATATCGGCCTAAATAGCCTAGGCTATGCCAATTTCGGGGTACACTTCCATATCTGTTGGCACAAACAACCGAATGAAATATCGATCGATTATTTGATATATTGTTTGGTTAGATATTCTTAGGTAAGGTTAACCTAACCTGACTAACCAAATGATATATCGAATTAGGTACCTTCCTGTTAAAGGGAATATTTGAGAGGCCTAATATCGATTTTCTCAATAGCCTATATCGGTATTTTTGTTTTCCTTTACGATTCATTACAAATTGACAACTGATCTTGTTTAGGCTAAAATATAGTCTATTATATGGATTAAGAAATGAAACTGTTCTAAGCTAACATAACCAACCAGTCTGTTTCATAACCGAAAAGACAAGTGGAGAATATTAAACGGAATTTTTAAATGTTACAAAAGTTTTGTTAGTTTTATTGGATTAGTTTAGAACAGTTTCATTTATTTTTTTTATTTTTTATAATCATTTGTTGATACTGCACAATAACTTAGGATAACTTCCTATCGTAGTTGTCAGCTCACATGTTTCAATTCGTTAAATATCGATATATCGTGAAAAAAATCATCGATAATAACTTAATGAATGTTCCCTTCAACAGGAATGTACCTCAAATTAAACAATCAAAGGGTACAGTTTCTTAACTGGGCTACACTAATAGGCTATTGATTGAAACTATCAAATTGAAAATATTGATTAATAATCGATATTTTAAAATATAGGCTATCTATTATAAAATTAAACTATCATAACCTAACCTAACCAACCAAACTTGCTGATGGTGAAAAAATCGTATGAAAGTTTACATTACTAATCGAATCGATAGTTTCAATCAATTTTTGCATAGCCCAGTTAAGAAACTGTACCCCAATCGGGTAATCAATAGGCTACTACTCATTCGATTGTTTGTGCCAACAATAAGTTATGGAAATGTACCCCGATTTCGAATAACGCAGAGGATACGCGTCCGGTAACAGGACGTGGATTAGGCGTCCGGCAGTTACTGACATAACCTAACCTAACCAACCAAACTTGCCGATAATGAAAAAAATCAAATGAAGGTTCAATTCTCTTCATAACATAAAATTATAAATGCCAAAAATTCTAACAAAAGATGTACAGTTAAGAAGAAATTACATTCAAAGCAAAATCTGTGACAAAAAGTTAAAGACACCGATGGGTTTCGAACCAGGGACCTCTTGGATATCAGCCGAGCACTCTATCCACTACACCACGAACAACGCTGGCCGAACTTCATATCGTTGTGGTAATGGCGTTCCGGGACCCCAAAACCCGGAGACGTCACTACCGGATGCCTAATCCACGTCTGGTTATCGGACGCATATCCTCTGTGTTCGAATAAAGGCATAACTTACATAAGTTAAAGTGTATTCAGGAAGGTTCTGGAAGCTTCAAGACACATGGGTGACAAGTGTCGACAAAAGCAGGCATATCACTCAGGCTGTAAACAGGGCCACAGTTTTCGGATCTTTGGAGGGGCACAAGGAAGAGAACAATTAATTAGCTTCACCCTGCAAGAAATGGGGAGTTTGAACAATTGAAAATGGCTTGTTACACAACTTAGTGCATTGAATGCAAACTGCGGGCCTGGCTGTAAACAAATTAAATTATAAGATGAGTAGAGAAAAGGAAATGCACAAGTACTAGCTCAACATAGCACTTACCTCACCAAAGGCTATCAAAGAATCAGCTATGAAAATCAGAACTAGGCGCCGACCGTAGCAACAAGGTCATCATAAAACAATGCACCTCAATCCTATTATCCAAATTATAACCCCACTAAAACTAAACGTTTTATTTCAAGGTAACGCAATTCATTTAAATTATTATATTATTATAATATAATGGATAGATTAACGTTGGACATAGCGACAATGCATGGTTATAAAGGTGCCAGCTGCCAGGTCAGGTTAGGTAGGCCAGGGCCAGGTCAGGTCAGGTGGTGTAAGAAAGAATTTTTAAGAAAGAATAAGAAAGAAGAGATAGAGAGAGAGAGTGGGAGAGCTACAGAGAGAAAATGAGAGAAGAAAAACTAAATTTACATTGTGACCTCAACGTAGCTTTTGACCATGAAACTAAACCTAGTGAGATGTCCTACAGAATCGATAACCCATAATTTATAAAATAACATGACATCTACAGCGTTACCTTACCTCTTCTTCATCTTTTACCCAAGACAAGAAAGGGATGGATTGAGTCATAATAAAAGAAAAACTAACTAAGGAAAACTTTTACACGTACAAAATAATATACTCACAACTGACAAAAACGTACGTCTTTCATATTTTTTGAGAGCTAAGAATGAAACACAATATAAATTTGTATGTATTATTACTCTGAAATACAAGTTAAAAACTAACATCCGTAGACTTCTCATCCCATTGTAAATTTTGAATCACGTTTTTCGTGTCTAGTTCATGTACGTGACACATGGGCGCTAGTGTTGACGAAACTTTGTTTCTATTATTTTAGGGTTAATTTCTTGATTTGTGCTTTACTGTTTGATTATATAGCTAGGGGACAAGTTATTGTTTATGATTAGATCGTATAATTTGGTTAAACGAGGTTTTAAATGGCTGTAATAACGGGAAACGAATTGTAAACAAAACACGACCTCTACATAAACCCTACAGAACTAACAATAAAATTGTCTTCAGCTGTTCCATAAGGATGAGAAATCTAATACTTCCACTTCCAGCGATGACGCAAAGATGGCGACCGTAGAGTGGCAATTTCATTGTCAGTCATGAACTCCTAAATTCTGTCGTAGGCTCTATCTCAGAGTAATAAAACAAATTCTTTTGTTTTATTCCTCTAAAGCTCTATCTTTCATAATTGCCATTAGTTTGTACCATAGATAAAATATACTTTTGTACTTAAAAAAACCCCTTTCCCCAACCCCAAGGTAAGTTAATATTGGAAGATTGTTACTAAAACCCCTGAATCAATTATCCCCGAAATAATTCAGAAGCAGAAGTAGTGTGTAAGATACCTAATCTAAGTTATCTTAATTTCGCTCTGTGTAATCTCTATAGAAGCAATATGAAAGAAACCATAAAGATTTTCTGAATTTGGCAGATAGTGGCTATAGATTCTAGATTCTGACGCAGGTAACATCATAGATAAAACATACTCCTCAAGTATGTTTTATCTATGGTAACATCCAGCATGTTTCTTTGCCTGGTGTTGTGAGGATCAACCATGAGTCACAGGACGTAAGGTCTATAAATGCTTGTCCCAGCCAGACATAAAGAAAGAACAGAAGAATGTAGTGGCCAAAGACAGGGAAGTGAGCCTAGGTATTCCTAGCTCCTAGAAAAGGGGCTTATTTTGAGTCCGGAAGTCAAGAATAAAAGAAAGAGGGAATCATGCAATATAGTGCCGATGTAACAAATTTTCCCGTATGGTCATTGATGCTTGACTGAATGACTAAACTGAGCCATGTCAATTTTTAATATATCGCATATCTGAACTCGTTTACCAGGCCTGCCACTATTTCAGTTTTCAAAGAATTTTATGTGTTAGTAATTATTTTTTAACTCAAAAATCTTAAAACGCATGGTAAAATATGCATTTAAAGTGGCGGCCAACTCAATTATTAATAAAAAAAATGAGAAATGTATTTTATATAATTAATTCAATTATGTGGCTTAAGCCATTTTTTTATAATCAATGAAAAGTCTAAGAAATACACAGTAAAATGTCATAGTGAATATTTCTGCCTGCCTATGTGCCTTGCACAATCAACTATAGAAAAAGATGTAAACAATGACCTAACCTTAAAATTTCAAAGTTTCTAATGTAGTGACCAGTGAAATCGCGTTTATCTTTATAATTATATATTTTATTTAATAAGATTTGCTATAAGCTTTTAACAATAGATTTATATAACTCACACTTCTTAGAGCATCTCTGGAGCTGCTTGTATAAGTTAGACAAAATTATATATTTGATATTGGACTCTCTATGACAATCCTACAAAACATTCTAGGCCTACTTATCTTCTGGTATTACTTTTGAGGGGCTTTTTTATTTTGGTTAAATCTTACGTAATATTCAATAAAATAATAGGCCTATGATAGTTTTTTTTATGTATAGATTCATGGATAGATCAATCGATGTTGAGATGTTAATAAAATATTAGACGATGAGACAATTACGCTACTGTAAATTTCTTACGACAGATCTATCTAACACTTGGTTTTTTGGTTTGTTATTTAATGTTAATAGAACAATCCCTTTTAAAAAGCAGAACTTTTTAAGATATTCTTCCTTTTTGTTTCCCTTGTCAAATATTTCTTTATCGCATATAAAACGAACACTGCAAATAAAAAAGTTTACTGTAAAGGACGGCTACACTTGCCTTGTAACAACCTGTCTTAATTGTAAAAATAATAGAAAAACGGATGGTAAAATCTTCATCAACAAAGTAACAGGTATGTAAGTCAGCCAACTTGCTGAATTCTATAGGATGCTTAAGTTACCTACCATTTAAAAAAAGGGAGGGCTGCACTTTAGTTTAACTATCGATATATTGATTATTTCATTTGATTGTTCAATCCATTAATTTATCGACTTTACTTTGTTATTTTTTTATTGTTTACTTAAGTTTCTTTTTTGTTATTGTTTATAAGTCATTAAAGTATTTAAAAAAATGTTATGGAAATGAAACTGTTCTAAATTAACCTAACATAACTAACCAAAGCTGCTGCAACATTTCAAAATTCTGTTCGATATTCCCCACATGCTGTTTCTGGCTGCACTTTACTTTAGGTCCTACACTCATTTGAATTAAAATATCGATCGATATATCGATTGATCGATTGTTTCATTCGATATATCATTTGGTTAGTTAGGTAAGGTTAACCTAACCTAACTAACCAAATGATATATCGAATGATCGATATTTTCATTCGAATGAGTGTAGGACCTAAAGTAAAGTGCAGCCCTGTTTCTGTTATCAAATGGAATTTTGAAATGGTACAGAATGTTTGGTTGGTTATGTTAGTTTTGTGTAGAGCAGTTTCATTTTTTAATCCATATAGGGCCTGTAGTCCGAAGTCGATTGTAATTATAGTGTAATTACTGAATGACCAATAAATCTATTCTATTCTATTCTTTAAGTTACCTAATTGTTTTTGCCTAAACAAGATCCGTTGTCAATAGATTGTAATTTAAATGCGTTTGAAGATATTAAAACAGAAGGAATATGGATCAGATATTTAGGCCTACAATCAAACAAAATAATCGATAAATCGGTAGTTTAATCGAGAATTTTAATCGAGTGACTGTGGGCCGTAAACTTAAGTGCAACCAAATAAGGTTTGACCTACCAATGTAAGAAACATGAACATACCTATTTTGTTTTACATTTGTCTCAGTCTGATATTAAATTAAAAACTAAACTCAATTTATGTTTTTAAGGCTACTTTTTCTGCAGTGAATGCAATGCTAGTGGATCATGGGATTCTCTAGAAAAGGCACTAAAGAAAGATGCTGATTCATTGCCAAAAGATAAACCAATGATCGCTCCCTCTCGATGGACAACAATATGTGAAAAATCTGAGGACTTGAAGTTACTCTCACATATTGATTTAGAGGAAATTGTACAAAAGTTCCAGCTGAAGGTAAACAACTTTTAACTAGTAGTACGCTTATTCTGCGTGAAACGGGATGAGTGAACATGAGCGCAATAATGAAAGAGTCCACCCAAACCTAGCATACTTACCGGTGTCACTGGTGAACACAAAAATGTTATTTGTATCGGCAAATCAACCCATGAGTCGGGGCAAATAATGGTGAGTCGGTGGCTCAGTCGGTAGCGTCACGTGGACTTCGGGCCCAAGGCAGCGATGTCGTGGGTTCGGATCCTGGTCACAGCCACTAAATTTCAGTTCACCTTTGTCCTGTACCGGCTCACCCCTTGCTTTGCTGTAAACGATCCACGCACGGGCGCTTAGTCTATGTGGACGGGCAAATGCAAGGTTAAAAGAGGCTGCCAGTGCCAACCTCTTAAAAAAACTAAATCTCAGTCAACAAAAATCCTAACTTCTTGTACATTAATTAACCAAAGTCATTGGTAATATACGTAATGTATTTCCTGTTTCCCTCTCTTCTCATAGCATTTTATTATTGCAGATACAACAATCTAACTGTCAACGAGTTCCCATCACAAAGAGTTAATCACAAAGAGTTCCCACACTCTGCACTGTTCACCTTGACTACTTCCTTCACCACTTCCTACGTCGTGGACCTGTTTCCCTCTCTGCTCATAGCATTTTAGTATTGCAGATACATTAATCTAACTGTCACAAAGGGTTCCCACACTCCGGACTCCTCGCCTCGACTACTCCCTTCACCACTTCCTACGTCGTGGACCTGTTTCCCTCCCTTCCCATAGCATTTTTATAATTGCAGACACTGTACATTATTCTAATTATCACTAAGGGTTTCTACACTCCGGAATGCTCGCCTCGACTACTTCCTTCACCACTTCCTTCGTCGTAGACCTGTTTCCCTCCCTTCCTATAGCATTTTAGAATTTCAAATAGATTAATTTAACTTTCACAAAGGATTCCCACCCTCCGGACTGTTCACCTTGACTACATCCTTCACCGCTTCCTACGTCGTGGACCTGTTTCCCTCCCTTCCTATACCATTTTAAAATGTTAAATAGATTAATTTAAC